CAGTATTCATTGATTAAAAACGATAACAATTATGTAGACAACACCATAACTAGGTTATGGTTATGTATAACGCGGTTCTTATAAGGGCAAATAGAACAGAGATGTATCGCACTGAAATTAGTATATCTCCTAGTATCGCTGTGTCGTCAAGTTTAGGATTATGGTTTAAGTAAAGTTTACAGTCAAGGCTAGGATCCTTATTAAAGTTAGGTTTAAGTTAAGTAATAAAAATAATTCTAGGGTTAAGGTAAAAGTTATTTGAAGTGCAACGATACCATTAAAATGTAATATCGTGAACGACAAGCCGACGATTTCATTAAATAATCATAAAAACAAATTCTTCTTTAATTTGTTTTGTTTAATTAAGCACTTAATTTCAGCCGGTTGTTTGAAATCATTTACAGACGTACAAGAAGAAAATAATAAAACAATGACATAAACTAAAATTAATGGGATGGTTGATATTGAGTTCAATCGTTTTGTTTTTTTAACTACCCTCTATAATATTAATAATGCATGCTTTGTTTTCCTCATTTGTGATTGATGTTAAGATGAGAGTTGATTAAATGACGTTCGTCGATTACGTGAGGGCACATTTTAGAGTTAAGATTGGAATTAATTCCTTTGTTTTATGGCTTGAACCATAAATATATTGTTTTGCGTTCCGTCTTTATGAATTCTTCTTTTTATGCAGTTTTTGTTACGGGATGAAAGATTGCCGATACGGCAAAAATTTCAGGCAAAAAAAAAGTATATAATTATAAAATAAAATTTAAAAAAACACATGTGCATTAAAGAAAAATAAGGGAGTGTCATTTTTCTTTTTAAATTGTTATTTATGATGAGCATTTTTTTAAAAATAATTGTTTCCTGTATTTAATATTATTCAATGAAATATGACCTAGGCTGAAATATAATTTTTCTTCTTCACCAAACCATATGAAGAGATAGTGTGGCCGGCAATATGCTCGGTCGTCTTTACTGTCCCTAACGTGAGTCAGGTACCCAATAGAGCTGGGTGGACTCAGGGATGTCCAACATACTCGAATCCGAGATCTAAACTCGATACTTTCAGGATAGCAGACGAGAGCGCTACTCCGTCCCCCAGTAATTTCACTCAATTAAAATTGATCGCTAAATTAGAATTCTAATTACAAAATGTTATAATTCTTTAATTTCTTGTTCAGCCTGGCGGAGACTGTGACTCTCTACCTCTCATATTCTCTCTATCTTCGTACAATCGATTAACAAGCTCACCAGACGTGTATGACATAGTGTGTACTGAACGTACAGCGTGTTTCTTTCAGGCATTTCTCCGCGAGGAGCAGTGCCTCACCCCCAAAGCACGTCTATTGCATCCCCCTCCCTCAACGAAATATAGTTTACAAAAAAAATACTTTTACTAGTGTCTGCCCCCCTCTCCTAGATAATTTACCCCCCCCCCCCCTCCCCGAAAGATTCAAGTGCTTTCCCCTAAATATACCAGTGCTTCTCCCTTCACTGGAGAAAAAACCCTGAAAGAAACACGGGGTCTAGAAAATGTAACACTAGCAGACCTTAGGGGGCGCCAAAATGGGTTGGAAAAACAAATTGAAAGTTTGAGGAGGATGGTACAAATTAAAAGTTTGAGGGGGGGGGGGGGGGCAAATTGAAAGTTTGTCCCCGGGCGCCGGAAAGGGTCGCTACGCCTCTGACCTAACATATCACATACAATGTCACCTATGTAACAAACGGACGACCTAACTTATCACATACAATGTTAACCATGTAACAAACGGACGACCTAACTTTTCACATACAATGTTACCCATGTAACAAAGACACGACCTAAGTTTTCACATACAATGTCACCTATGTAACAAACGGACGACCTAACTTATCACATACAATGTTATCCATGTAACAAAGACACGACCTAAGTTTTCACATACAATGTCACCTATGTGACAAACGGACGACCTAACTTAGCACATACAATGTCACCTATGTGACAAACGGACGACCTAACTTATCACATACAATGTTACCCATGTAACAAAGACACGACCTAAGTTTTCACATACAATGTCACATATGTGACAAAGGGACGACCTAAGACCCAAAAGGAATGTTACAACAACCGTAACTACCGGAGCGTTGACACAAGCCTCACCTCCCCGCCGCGTTGACAAAAGTTACATTGTGTTATCTAGGAAGCTTTTTTAGTTTCATTTTCGAAACAGTATGACTCATATCAGCCATAGATCTAGTGAAACAGTATGACTCATATCAGCCATAGACCTAGTGAAACAGTATGATTCATATCAGCCATAGACCTAGTGAAACAGTCAGTTCTTTGTTGTTAAAAGTTTTGTTTAGACGACACAATACAGATATTGAAGTAATGATACAATTATGTCTCTTTGTTGTCAAGAGTTTACTTTTGAGGCTGATGTCGTATATTAAACGAATTTGGATAAGCACGGTACAATCATAGAGGCCAAGATATAAATAGAAAACATATACAAAGCTGATCGTACAGTCTGTTATATGCCGGGGGGATCTATTTCGTTTATCCACATAAGCCACATTAGATTTTTTTTTTATTGGTTTGGAGAAATAGTCAAGTAGCTAGAAAAAAAGCTGAAGTGGGCGACAACCCAACATTTACCACGGCGTTGCCGAGAGGTAGAGCGCTAGACTGCAAACCTGAAAGTCTCGAGTTTGATAACGGGTTCGAATCTGTAGAACGTCCCTGAGTACACCCAGCTCTGATGGGTACCTGACTCACGTTGATGAAACAAAAGACGGCTGGGCTTAGTGCTGACCACACTTTTCCTTTGTACACCGAGGTAATTGAAACAGATGAACTCTACTTGATTGACACAATGTGTCTCGGGCACAAAAGGGAACATGATGATTGTTACATTAGATACCAGGCCTACATCCATCAATACCCTGTATTTACCAGGACAAGTACATCAACTGCCTCGTCTATCTTATTGTTCGTTATGAGCCTGCTGCACCAAGAAAAACTTCACAAGAAGTCAAAAAGACATCACAAAATGGTATCAAAAAGGAATAGCTAAAGTATGGCGTTGCTTGACCTATTTTAACGATCGCATTGCTAAATACGTCCGCCTAAATCAGACGGTTAGCATTGTTGCCATTTATAAACACATTATCTTCTTGACCACCTACATGATTATGTTGTTACGCTCGTTAGCTGGGAACAGCAATTCTTCTGGGAGAGACAACTCCAAATTCAAACTGCTGCCTTGTAGTTTGTTATTAGTTGGACAAATAATATGGAAGCAGCTCCAAAAAGAAAAGCAGGCTGAAATTAGTCTGCATGGCGCATAACATGCTGACACGTAATACTTAAGTTGAAGCAAGAAATCCCTTTTAATATAACAGTTAAGAAAGAAGGAAAAGATCAGTATCTCCTGTAACCCCTTTTGGCACATTGATCGCTAAGCTATGTGTTCAGTATAACACCATATACGTATTTATATTCTGTATAAACAATTCTATGCCCAGTATAAGATCATTTTTCAATCAGTCTTCATATACAACAAGCTCACTGCATCGACCTCATTGTACCAAAGATAATGTTCAGATTTGGCTTCAGACTGTGTAACTATACTTTGCTTTATATGAACGATTGAGGGCCCATCACACAACCTCTATCTTGCCGCCTTGTGAGGTACGAATAAAAGATGATTCAACATATTTTTTACCACTCCTAAAAAAACGGAGGCGTAGCGATGGGGGGTAAATATGTCCCCGGGCACCGACCCTAGTGGGCACCAAAATGGGTTTTAAAAAAAGTTAAAAGCTCATTTTAGCTGCAGTTTTGTATTATAAATATAAAAATATATGGGGAGGGGGGGGGGGGGGAAATTGAGAGTTTGTTCCCGGGGGGGGGGGGGGGGGGGGAGAGGTAGCGCTTCTGCTAAAATCAAGTTCATACACCTGCAGGCAATACAATGTTTTTACCTGTAGGTCTTTCGTCTAAGAGCCACGCTATGCATACAAATAATTCTTATAGAAAACGAAACAAAATTTCTAAGAATATGTTGTAAAACGAAGAAAACTGCTAAAGCCTGGTTTCATTACAACGTTGTTAAAGTAAAGTTTAACTTCATTATCTAATTTAACATAAATGGGGCAGTCGACTTTTAAACTGGTGTTACTACAAGACCAAAAAGTCTATTTTTGCAGGCTATAAATTGTAAGGTGCTAACATTATCACTGGTTTTCTAGCAGGGGTTTCAAGGGAAATCACCTAATACATTGCAAGAAAGCTTTTGTTGTTGTAGAGAGAAGACACGTTTCCCGTGAGATTAACTGTTATTGGTCTGTTCAGATACAGGTCATGGTAGTTTCAGATGAATCATGCACGGCTACAACCCAACTGTGAATCGTAAACGCCCGTGTGCCACGTTATATTTGTTTGGAAAAAAAAACAGACATCAAACGGTTCTAGTTGAGTGATGCATTCTTACTACTTCATCTTTATGTAGCGAGTCATTAGGTACGATCGTAAATATCTTGTGTATGCCAAGAACGATAATAAAAACTCAGTGTGGATTATTATTTCCCTGCCGTAAAACTAGACTAGTTCTGGGCCTTGGCATACAAGAATTTCCGTGAAATAGGCAGCGTACTAGAAACTCCACCCCCCCCCCCTTTTCCAAGTTTCACCAAATCGATCAAAACACGTGGTATACAAAAAGTCCAGAGGACCCAATAATGTAAATTATAGGAAGTTTAAGGGTTGCCTTTAAGTCTAGATGTCACCAACTACATAAATTATAGCCGACCTTCTTAGGGGGGGGGGGGGTCTCAGGACAGAAGGTACCAGCAATCTAAATTATAGCAAGTCCGTGGGGGGGGGGGGTCTCAGGACAGAAGGTACCAGCAATCTAAATTATAGCAAGTCCAGGGGGTGGGGGAGGGTCGCAGCTGGTCCATGGGCTACATATAAATTAATGAAGTCCCATAGAACACTTTGATACATGCAATTAGCGAGATCAAATCAAACACATGTGTCTAAACCTATAGCCTGCTTGGATGATCCAAACACATCAAGCGTGGCCCAACTACTATTAACCAGAGTCATAACAGACCCTGTCACAACTGACCCTGCGACAACTGACCCTGTCACAACTGACCCTGTCACAACTGACCCTGTCACAACTGACTCTGTCACAACTAACCCTGTCACAACTGACCCTGTCACAACTGACCCTGTCACAACTGACCCTGTCACAACCGACCCTGCCGAAAGTGACACTGCCACAACTGACCCTGCCAAAACTGACCCTGCCACAACTGACCCTGCCAAAACTGACCCTGTCACAACTGACCCTGCCGAAAGTGACACTGCCACAACTGACCCTGTCACAACTGACCCTGCCACAACTGACCCTGTCTCAACTGACCCTGAAACAACTGACCCTGCCACAACTGACCCTGCCGAAAATGACCCTGTCACAACTGACCCTGCCGAAAATGACCCTGTCACAAATGACCCTGTCGCAACTGATCATGCCACAACTGACCCTGTCACAACTGACCCTGCCGAAAATGACACTGCCACAAATGACCCTGTCACAACTGACTATGCACACAATCAAGCAGAGTCAACAAACAGATCTAAAATTGGGATCCCATATACTAACAATGATTAATCTCAACATTGCTCTAGAATCTATTGTGTTTTTAAATATAACTAGAATACCCGTCATCCGTTGGATAACTGTGGGTTTCGGGGGTCATCCATCAAAAAACATCACGTCTGTCACTCAGAGGCATAGCGACCCTTCCCGGCGCCCGGGGACAAAGTTTTCGATTTGAACCCCCCCCCCCCCTCAAACTTTTGATGTGCACCCCCCCCCCCCACTCAAACTTTTGATTTGAACCCCCCTCAACCTATCAATTTATTTTTCCAAACCATTTTGGCGCCCCAACATATGTCCCCCCCCTTCCCCCCTCCACCTCCCCACCCCCCTTCCCCCCCCCCCGCCTCCCCTCCCCACCCCCCGCCTCCCCTCCCCACCCCCCCGCCTCCCCTCCCCACCCCCCGCCTCCCCTCCCCTACCGTCCCCCCCCCCCCTCCTCGGTACGCTACTGCAGTGTCACTTATCGTCACAAAAAACAGACCCCACATTCAAATATATGTTTTTTATCTTTTAAAAACACCGAAAACACCGATTTCGGACTATCCCTTCATAAACTGACGTCACAGGTGACCTACTCAACTCTACTTCACCTGCCCAGTGTCCTGCCAAGTCTCAGACAACATGTTTTTATCGTTTAAAAAACAATTCCAGCCGAGCATGTATCTGACCACACTATCCTTTCATATGCTTAGGACAAAGAAACAGATGAACTCTACTTCACCTGCCCTGTATCTTGCCAAGTTCAGATAGGCAACGTTATCATTCACATCTAAAAAAAAAAATTGAAAAAAAAAATTTCATTGACATATTGGTCTAGAACCCGTGCCTCCTGCATGAGAGCTGACTACGCTACCATTTTAGCTATTTACTCGTGACGTCACAAGTGAATTTTTATACTATACTATGTGTCTCCTTATGCAACTTGATTTACGCGTATAGATTCTAGATCTAGATCTAAAAATAAGTCTAGTAGATCTAGTACTAACTTTCAAATTAAATTTTATCTTAAATAAGCCAAACAAAGATTTATATAAAATAATTAAGGCCTGAAATAGATTCTAGATGTAGAATTTACATTGAATCTAGTGACCTACATCTAGGCTAGATCTAGATCTAGGCTAGATTCATAAATTTCCTTCGATAGCTGATCTTTAGATCTAGAGAAATTTATCGTAAAACTAAATGAAAAAGACAGTTGAAAATTGATATAAGTGTTGGAACGTAATAAATACAGCAAACGGACGTATTGTTAAAGTTATGACCGACAGAAAATTAGATTTAGAACGCGTTAAACTTTTGAATGGGAACACAATTTTCTTCAATAGACGCCGCCATTTTATTGTACTAAAGAGTAAACAAAAACCTGTGACGTCACTATTCCCACAAAGTTTAGTCAAGGTTTTAACATTTTAAAAAAAAATGGGTTATTCTGCGTAGGAATAAATCAATAAATTAATTAACGTCTTTAAATAAATTTGTGATCAACAGTCTGTCTGCATTAAAAAATTATTCTCTACCTGCATACCATTTTACAGCTTTCCAGATAGAGTCGAACATATCACAATTTTCGATCAGGCAAACAAATAAATATTCAAACATGTAAACAAAGTTGAGTTTTAGTAGTATATAGATTACGATCTCACCATTATCACGTTTGTTGTATATTCAAAAGCGAATCACACGTTTTCATTTAAAAAAAAAAGATGTGCTGTTTTCGAAATATACTACTTAAAAGAAAAATTATGGTTAGTACTTAATTACTTTTATATGTAATTTTTATGAGATAACAAAAAGACAATGATCCTTATTTTGGTTCCATGACAAATAATCTCAGGACAAATGATCTCAGGCAAAATACCTCACAGCAAAATATGTGTAGTATATAGGATGATTTTAGTCGATTTTAACATTTTTAAAAATTTGTCATGTGGATGTTATTTGCTTTTCTTTTAAAAACATTATAATTATGTAGCATTAATTTATTGGCGTGTATCGTCAATAGAAGCATGTTAAAAATGACTAACTAATCTATAAAAAGTTCGAAGCAACATGGCACATGAAAGATTTATGCAACATGATAACGACACATACAAAGAGACTTACGTGGCGTCAATGTGGAAGATGTAATAAAATACAAAACACAGTGCATTGCTAATGTGTCCTGATGAGTGTGTAAGAGAGGAACTAACTACACAGTGTTAACCTATATCCCCCCTGATAGATTACACTACACAACAGTCAAGAAAATCACTTCGAACATGATTTTGTAATTTAGGGTTTTCCCGATATTATATTTATATTTTTTTTTCGTTTTCTTATAACTTAGTAATATTAATAATTGAGTTGTTTTATTTATTAGAGAGAAGTAAAATTGCATTTGATGATTTCCTTATCTTTATAATTTAAGTACTTAAGTACAGAGGCGTAGCGAGAGGGGGCGGGGGTTGCGGACCGCACCTGGTGACACCATTTAGGGGGGTGACACCAAGGCAAAAAATAGCATAATATATAAAGAAAAATTTGAGGGGGGGGGGGGGGTGCAAATCGAAAATTGAAAGTTTGTCCCCGGGACGGGTCGATACGCCTTTGGGGGTGACACCATTAAGTGCCGCACCGGATGGCACCCGACCTCGCTGCGCCACTGCTTAAGTACATCATACGTTAAAAGAGTCAATGCACATCATAAATGGGAGTCAGTGCACCATGCTATTACAGAGTCGGTGCACCAATTTATAGTGAAATTGGTGCAAAATGTTATGTATAGGGACGTGGGTGCACCAAATGTTAAGTGAGTCATTGCACTACACCTGTAATGGAATCTGTATACTATATTTTAAGTACAAAAGGGCTCTATATTGTATGAGTCTTCTTCGTTTTTATTTTGAACTGGATTCCTTCCAACACAATTAAGTATTATGTGTTAATTTGTTATGAACCATTTAAGCCGTTGACTCCAATTTCAGCCTGCTTTTCTTTTTGGATTTCCTTCCATAGCGTTTGTCCAATCAAGAACTAACTACAAGGCAGCAGTTGTTTGATTTTGGAGTTGTCTCTCCTAGAGGAGTTGTAGCTCTCACTTATCGAGCCTCATCTGCACTGTAATTCGAAGTATAATAGTCAATATAACATATTTTAAGGGCTTTAATGCATCGTATGTTGATAGTCTGTGCATTCAGCAAAGAACACGTTTTTTTTTCTCTCAATACTAAATGTGTGCACGGGATGTTTTACCATTGACATCACAAATGTACCACCTGTCCTTAAAATAGCTGTAAGATTAGTCATCTCATGTTAAACAGCAGTCATCACAAGTGCAGAACATCCCTAAACAGCCAACACCCACATCACAACAATTCAAAGCTACGTTAAAGCTTGCACCACAGTGAATGGGACGAGTGGCTTACCTGTACCAGCCATTCAATTTTTCCCTCGGTTTATTAAACTTTTCATCAGACATGTAATTTAAAATCGTCTCACCGCTTCGTCCTGGTGAGTCAAGGTGGTCTGATCAGTTATCTAACGTACAGGTGCGTGCTGGTCACAGTTGGCTGACTCTTGAGTTAGTTCCAGTTTCGGTCTCGATTCACGTTGATTCTCAAGAAGGCCATACCTGTCCATACAGGGACACTAAAGGGAGGTTCTACTTTCATTTTGATGCTTACATCGCCCTGTTTTTGAACGCTGTCCACAATGTACAACAGCTGAACAAGCTTCGATGGAGTGTAGAGATAAATACAAATCTGGTGAAAATCTGGGAGTGGCTAACACTAAATCTGCTTTAGAAATTGCCTACTGCCAAACTGTGAGAATGCTTATATATATATATATATATATATATATATATATATATATATATATATATATATATATATATATATGTATATATATATATATCAGGGGCGGAACTACAGTGCCGCCAGACCCCGCAATGCGGGGGGGGGGGGGGGCCCACGCCGTTTAAGGGGCCCACAGCCGCCCATAATAATTTTTTTATAGTTAAAATTAATTTTCTTGCATTTTTGACCTGATGGTTGTTTTGAAAAAAAGAATACTGTAGCTGCGGTTGGAGTATCTTTATTCTATAGACACCATCCCACGCTCTTGTATATTCTTTTTCCTACAATCAAACACACGCTGTTGTCGGCAAAATTCTTTTGAAAAAACATCAATTGCGCGAGAGGCCGCTAGACATTCAGACGGCTTTTTGAGACCATCCCAAATTTGGTACTGATGGATAAAAAAGCACATCGGTGCTTTGTTGAAGTTCCTTTCTCAGACCACCCTCCCGCTCTTAGCCTTACAAGAAGCGAATAGATAGCGCCTCAACAACTAAGCTGGCTCGTATCGGTGGTAGTGTAGACAAACTAGCGCTCCAACAACTAATATAAAAAAAAAAATAAAGTGCCGATATTGTTTACGTTTAATAACCACTGATCTAGAAAACAAGGCAAACTTCTCAAATAAATACACGAATGAGAGCGTGTTATATATATATATATATATATATATATATATATATATATATATATATATATATATATATATATATATATATATATATATTAGTTTCGTCATTGACACCTTGATAGTGGTTTTGTAAATAACAAACAGATAACAGCTCTAATACTGTAGTGATGTTATATAGTAGCTGAGACATGCTGTTGCATAAACATTTTAAAAAAATATACACATGAGCTGTAGTGTGAAAGATAGGCAGGCAAACGTTCAAACCACTTCCATAAATTATTTCCCTTTTTCAAATAGTCAAATAGGAGTGCTCATAAGCTCCTTTTAAAAGATTTGTAATAATCAAATTAAACAGCAATTACTTATCTTAATTATTATTTAAAAAAAAAATAAGTAGCCTACTAAAGAATGTTATAGTATAAAAATGAAATGTAGTTAAAATTAATAATATAAATACAAAAAAAAACAAAAATAAACATAACACGAGACACCATTACTTATACAAAGCTTCATGATTTATATACTTTTGACCGACTTAATAATTAGACGTATTAAGACAAACATAAATGAAAACAGATTTTCAAAACAGACCAATGCACTCACACACATGACATGTTGTTGTGATTAAATTTAATTGAATTTTTTTTTTCAAAACCCGATCAGGCCAGAAATGAGTATCCTATGTTCGTATTGTGTGTTTGTATATATATATATATATATATATATATATATATATATATATATATATATATATATATATATATATATATATATATATATATATATATATATATATATATATGGGGGGCCCAAAAATTTTTTTTGCGGGGTGGCCCATTTTTTCTAGTTCCGCCACTGATATATACATATATACGTTATCAAGCAATCGATTTGAGTGAAACGTCCGACCACATCAAACAAAACTATTTGTGCACCAAGTTTGACTCAAAGTATGTTTGTATGGTCTTAGCAATAGTGGCTCTGATGAGAATAAAACAACGGGTATACTACATCCATCTATAGGTAACTTAGTAGCAAATTCTACTATTAGAATTGATGACAAGGTTTATTCATGTGGTAGTAGCTCCATGAAAAAGCCACATTTTATTATTAGACGTGTTCAAAATAATAGGGAAAACGCAATACAATTTTTTATTTTATTTTTGATCGAGTCAAAACGCTGATTCCAGTTAAATGAAGCTGTGAATCTGTCAACTAAACAAAGTATAAATCTTGACTACGGTTTTGTACAAAGGTTGAAAGTTTGCAATTTTAGCAGATAATCGATGATAAGTACTTCAACCCCCACATCTCCACCCCTACCTCTCACTGATTGCTCTTAAGTTGATACATGCTCTTGTTCAACATATGTATTTTACATTTCTGCCTTAGCTGTTTTTCTATTCAGTTGATGTCGCGCTTACAAAACTGCTGTTGTGATTCAATTGCACTAAAAGCAAAAATAATTTACCATTTCACTCAGAATTTTTCTGCAAGTCATTGTTTCTTCCAGACTTTTTCTCCGGGAGGGGGGGGGGGGAAGGGGCACTTGAAATTTTCGGGGGGGGGGGGGGGCACTGTTAAAAGTATATATTCTCTGTAAATTTAATTTCGTTCGGGGGGGGGGGGGGGGAGCGGTAGATCTGGAAGATGCCTGGAAGAAACTCTTTCTGCAAGTGTGTACAAAAATGTAAATCGTGAATGTAGATAATTACTTCTTCTAATTAGCCGAACTGATTTAAAAAGCGCGTGTGGTTTTAATGCAAATTGAAATAATTAACACACTATAAAGTGCACCATAAATGTTAAATAGAAATATTGAAATATAATTTTTATAAAAGGTTTGGTAAATTTTTTAGCTTACAGCAGTTAGTTGCTATGGAAAGGGAAACAAAAGATAGATCGGCCAGGCAGTTTTAAAAAAGCCTTCATCAAATATATTTATAATACCGTTTATTATTAAGTAGAGATTTCTAAATAAAGTCCGCTATTATTTATTGCGAAACATTTCTCAACAAAAGTCCAGGAAATTGTTTTTATATTTCCTATTTTTCTGCCCGGTAAAAAATTATCATTTCACAAAAAACGCTGCATTTTGTGATAATCACGTTAAGCGTGAGTCAATTTTCTCCGCCAAGTGTCGCCGTTGGCGATGCACTGTCTAATCCCATATACACTCTGCGGCAGCAATTGTCACATGCACATTGTGAGGCGGCAAATGTCACATACAAATTGTTTAGCGGCGATTGGCAATGTCTAAAGTGTGGCTAAGGTTGAATCAAAAAGTCACGCACACATTATCACGGATGAAATTTACTTAATTCAGTCGGTTCTGTTTATAAAAATAAACCGCCAATCGATGTCCAGTTAGTGAACACTTCGTATTCTTAATGTTTCCGCTTTAGAGAGACATCATATGAAAAGCTACTTATCTGGGTTATAGTTAGAATTTACGTCCACGTTTTAAAAAAAAAGTTAGCGAAAATGTATTTTTTTATAATCAGTCTGATTTTACTGTTTGGTTCTTAAGACCCAGAGAACTTCATCTTTTTTGTGTCCGAAAAATCATCTTTAAAAGTACCTTTTGTGCAGATGGAATATGAAGGCACGTTTTCCTAAGACATGTGTTCATATTTCAATTAAAATTACTGTGAGCCATTCGACTTACTGTGGATACAAAGGAAAAATATAATTTGTGGTAAATTTGCAATAGTTGATGTTAGAATTATAAACACTTGTATCAGCGGCAAAGAAATTGGGAAAAACAAAATTATTCGAAGACTAGTTAAAAGTTTTGCAACGTGCCAGTCAAGCACATGAACAATCTTTTCGGCTTTTTTTCAGTGTTTAATTTTAATTGGGATTAGAGCCACTATACCGAATTGTGTTGGAGTAATTTTACTCGTGTTAATTAAAAATAATAAACGTGTGTTAAACTACACAGAAAAGGATATATAGAGTTTTAAAAAATCATGGATGAAACAGCTAACAGATTACAATTCAGAAAAGTGACTTTAGTCTATGCTTTGCAAGTGATAGTTTTAGTGCTACATAAATGTGAAGTGGTGAGCACAAAAAGTGAATTCATCTTCCACTCACTAGACAAGAGAGTATACTCTAAACCTGGCGACATCAACATTGGCGCTATCGTCATGGCGACACAACCGGCGTCCGGAAGTTACTGCACTAATGTCATTCGTAAAGGCACCAAAGCCATCGAGTATTCAGAATCAGTGGCGTATGTCGTCGATGCTATAAATAGACGAGAAGACCTGTTGCCGAACATTACTTTGGGGTTCTATATCTTGAATGACTGCACGATCACCTCGGCGGCTTTAGCGCAATCGTTGAAGTTCCTACCGACTTTCTCTGGAAACTGTGCCGGGAAAAGTCTTGATAACGCCACTTGCGTCAAAGAGTCTGATACTAGTTATGACGTAATCGGGGTGCTGGCGCCCTTACGAAGTGGCACCGCCGCCCCCGTGTCGCTAGTCTACACCCCAGCTAGGATCCCTCTCATAGGGGCCGTAACTTCTTCAGATGAGTTCAGCGATAAAAAAATCCATCCGTATTTTTTTAGAGTTATCGGCCCTGATAAGTTTCAAGTTAACGCCATGTTGAATTTCGTCGCTGAAAACGGTTGGAGTTATATTTCTGTGGTGTATATTGAAGGGCCCTATGGTGAAAGCGCGTTGAACACAATCAAATCTGTAGCTTCGAGCTTCAATATTTGTCTTGCTACGTGGATCCCAATGATAGCTGAAGAAGATACTGACGTTATAGCAAAGGGACTTGTAGCGCATAGAAATGCTCGTGTGGTTATCGTGTTCATGGACGAAGAGCAATTTGTCCGACTTGTTAGGTCTGTAGATAAACAAAATGCTAGTGGACATTTTATATGGCTGGCCGGCGACTCCATTGCCGCTATAGATCTGTTATACCCCGCAAAAGAATTCACTGTTGGCACGTTTCTATTTTCCTTCTACGCTCCGCTTGTGAATGAGTTTTACAGCTACATACAAAATCAAAATATTTCAAAGTCCGCGAATCCCTGGTTCAAACCCAATTGGGAAAGTTTAAGCAACTGTTCGTTTAACAATGGAACGTGTGCTAACTACATCGACGAATCTAGTATGTCTAAATTTGATTTTCTCACATTCACAACCCTGCAAATGGACTCAGTTCTCGCCCTTGCTCACGGCGCGCATAAACTCATTTCTGATTTATGTCCGGGTGTTACAGGAACAAAAGCACGCGCATGCGTGAAGCGCGAAATTTTGATTCGTTATTTAAAAAACCTGTCGTTTACTGGATACAGTGGACGTATACAATTCGATAATAACGGCGATTCGGTAGGTAGATACGTCATTCAACAAATCACAGATCATGCAGTAGAGGATGAGTTGATTAAAGTTCAGTCACAGAAAGAGTTTGGTGAATGGGTTGTCGCTTACTTCGACGTAGGTACTCGAAGTTTTACTTACACAGATAATCCAATTTCTTGGCGTCATATCAAAGATTATGACATTCTTTCAAACAGAAGCGGGGATAGATTAAACAGACAGCCTGAATCGGTGTGCAGCAAGCCTTGCGGTGTTGGTGAGTACAGGATCCAGAAAGTTCCAGTCTGCTGCTGGGAGTGCCGGGCATGTCGGGATAATGAACGTGTTCTCAAAGAAGGGTGCGAGGATTGCGAGGTCTTAACCTGGCCTGACCCCGACACCAACTACACCACCTGCATCCCCATCCCCTTGACCCACACTCAACTCTCCAGCACCATATCCGTTCTTCAAATCAGCTTTGCTGTCGTAGCTCTCCTCCTGACGTGTGCCGTCAGTGCATCATACGTTTACCTGCGTGACCGCCGCGTCATCAAAGCAGCGAGCCGAGAACTCAGCCAAATTCAGATCCTGGCAATATCCGTTGGTTACGTCACGGTCATCTGCTACCAGACGTACCCAACACACCACATGTGTAGTGTGTTGTTCTTCACGTTCTGCCTGAGCTTTGCCTCTCTGTACTCGCCCCTTCTTATCAAAGCCGTTCGCATCTACAGAATATTTAAGAGTGGGACCAACAGATCGATGCGATTCGTCAGTCCAAAGTCACAGATACTTATGTCGCTGTTTCTGATCCTCATCCAGGTAGGATGATACAAAATTAATTATGTATGTAATTAGTGTAAACTAGAGAGCATTAGACATCCATAGCGTCGCTATCTTTAGTTGTAGTGTTTTGCGTTAAAATATTTGTTCCGGGAACACGTTCTTAACTAAGGAAACTAACCAATAGTTAAGAAATATTTGACCGGTTTGTTGTTTGCAGTTTTACTTGAAAAACAGTACTTTAAGTAACAAGCACGACCCTTGCTACTTTAATTCTGGCTAGATTTTAAGTTTTGTTTGGCTTTTAAATTATATTTAGAAGTTGATCGTTAGAATTATTTAATACGGAATGTAATCTTTTAATATTACTTAAATCCGGATGCTGTTGTTTTTTTTAAATATATTTTTCTTTCACAGCTAGTCCTATGTGTGTACGTATCGGCGACCTTTAACCCCACAGCTAAAACAACCCAGCCTGTCCTTACAGAAAAGTTTGTGGAACTCTCATGTGACATGACTCTCCCAGGGTTATCGTCCTTCCTGGCCTACAACCTCATCCTTGTCTCCCTTTGTTCCGTCTTCGCCTTCAAGACCCGGAAACTTCCGGACAATTTCAACGAGTCCCGGTTCATCTCGATGTGCGTGTCCACCACGCTGGTCATCTGGCTGGCCTTCATCCCCACCTACTTCACGGCTGGACGTGAGTACGTCCGTGTGCTGCTGCTCTCTGTCTCGCTCATCCTCAACCACACGGTGGCGCTGGTCTTTCTCTTCCTGCCCAAGGTCTACGCCGCCGTCTACCTGATAGATCCAGCCACCACTGTTACAGGTGTGAACAGAACCGTGAACAGAACTGTAAACACCAACTCACCTTTTGTCATACAACAAGATGATCAGATAAACCCTACCAGTGAGTCATAAAAAATGACTTACCAAAAAATAAAGTTCCTCTTTAAACCTAGCAACAAATAGGGCAGAAGAAGTATAGTTGTATGTTTCTCTATCTCGGTATATTAAGGGTCAATAATATTGCCAGCCGTAATTATTTTCCCTAACGTGAGTCAGATCCCCATCAGAGCTGGGTTGACTCAGTGCCGTTCTATAGTCACAAATCCCAAACCGAGTTCCGAACTCGAGACATTCAGGCTAGAAATCAAACACTCTACCACTCGACCACGCCCTCACTCGCCACAACTCGTCGCTAAGATATCAAAAAAAAAAAAACAAAAAAAAAACATGTTTTGAAGCAAAAACAAAATTTAAGGCTACGCCTTGCTGTGGAAGTTGACACAAACTATATGATGAATAACATGAAACTAAAGGTGTTACGTGTTTGCTTTGTTTTTAAAACTTAAAATAATTTTTTACTAGTCTTATAGAAAACATGGCGTGGTCAAGTGGTTGAGCTCACACTGAGGTCTTAATGGGCTCGGGTGTGGTAAACGTAATTGAGTCTACCCAGCTCTAACGGGTACCTTACGAGAGTTGGGAGAAATAATGGAAACAGCTGTTCACACAATACTTTTATACCCTAATTCACAGAATTTGATTGTATGATAAGACAGCGTTTCTGCTATAACGTCTACGAATCATATGCATGATTGTAAAGTAATACAAATATTTATTTTCACTAAGAAAGTCTACCGCCCCCACCCCCCCCCCACCCCCCCCCCCCCAATGAAATGAAATTTACATAGAAAATATATACTTTTTACAGTTTCCGCACCCCGAAGAAAGTCTACCGCCCCCCCCCCCCCCACCCCCAAAAAAAAAATTTCAAGTGCCCCCTCGGAGAAAAAAGTCTGGAAGAAACACTGTTTTTACAAGCTTTTATTTAACTCACTTCCTTTGTCTGTCGTCAGTCTGTCGTCAGTCTAGATCGAAACGCCCGTGTGAAATTGCAGGCACTTTTAACTGACAGATAGTGTTCGTAGTTGGTACGTGGGTCAAGACATGAAGACAATGCATCGTGACATTCAATCTGACTTAATTGGTCGCCTAATTAATTTTTTATGAATAAATTAAAATTTGGACCGAATTAGTAGGCAGTTCTATCCACACGCGTCATCACGGCCGTGTTGGGCGTGGAGCGGGGGGGGGGGGGGGGGCTCTACGACAAAAGCGCGTCATCACGTTCGATTGGCGCGCGATGGTTTTTAGTCGGGACAGCAGTCTAGTTCTTTACCACTAGACTACGCCATACCATTATATTAATACTATAATGAAACTTTAGCTAAAAACTTGACAATGGTTTTTAGTCATGTAACTATTGTAAAAAAAAACAACATGTAAAGTACTGAAAAAAAAATCATAAAAATACGTTTTAGTAACAAGCTTTTATGTAATAATGCACTAAAAAGTAGAAAATAAATTATACACTACTCTTTAAATAACTATAAAGAAAAGCGTTGGTCTCTCCCTAACTATTAGCCACTACTATTTAAATTACTATAAAGAAAAGCGTGGGTCACTTTAGTATATATTGGATACCTTTAGGAAGAGATCCACGCTTTTCTTTATAGTTATTTAAATAGTAGTGTATAATTTATTTTCTACTTTTTAGTGCATTATTACATAAAAGCTTTTAATAAACGAATAAATATGTTACTAACAATCTCCTATTTCAGTATGGTATAACAATTAAAACAAGGGAAAAAACCTAGTAATAAAATGTCTGATGTTAAATGAAGAGTTTTGGTTCTTCTTAAAAATTAAAACAATGTTTTTTTTTTATTTATTTTTAAATTAAATTAAAATGCTTAATACCAGTTAATTTGATACTTGGCATTTAATAGCTTTCATTAAACCTTTTAAGTTTCTGTATTATTTTTGCTTATAGGTCTACTGTTCCCATTCCTTTGTAAAGCATTATATAATGATGTATATGTATTTGCACATTCTCTACATAAAATATCGAATTACCAATATTATTTTTAAGACGTTCAAATTTGCTGGCATTATAAAGTATAGGGAGGTTTGTCCTTACGAGATCAAAGTTTTAATATAAAAGTTAATTCATGCAATCACAAGACCATGAAATAAATTTAAAGCTTAACATTTCAAACATGACTAATAGGTATATTTGCGAACATTATTGATACTATTACTGTTTTTTCACACATATCTACGTTTAAACATTTTTGAAACATGGAACATACTCGGATGCAACCATGATAAAGTTAACGCTAGTTGTTCGTGGTAATGAATAGCCTCCCATGTTATAAAAATATTGTATTCAGGGGAGGCAAATAATAATTAAATTCAAATTCTGAACAAAAAAAATCTAATTTAAAATACAAAACCAGTTTGAAAGATATGTAATTGAATATTTTAGTTTATAATTAAAAAAAACAAGTTATATATTGAGCATTTCAAGACATGTTTTACTAAAACTTAAATCGTTTAAAATTAAATCATAGTAGAAAACTAGACATTAGTTATTTCTGTAGATCTATTTAGTATCAATATGGTTTTCTATCTCGGTGGTCATTGAAATCATTCATAACATCCCTCTCGGGTAAACATTTTTTTCCACAAGTAAAACGCTTAATGTAAGTACCCATAGGACACACATTCATCTATCCATTCATCCATCCATCCAGAAATGACGGGTTAATAAACGCAATTCTCCAGAATGGAAATTGCGCTAAAAATATTGTATTAAACTTTAGAAAAATTGATTTTTTTTTTCAACAAAAAATAAAATAAAATATAGCTTTTACATACTAAATATTTTTTAACGAAAAACGCGTTTATTGTATCCTGCAATCACCAGAAAATTATAAACATGTAAACTCTACTTCTCTTTCCCTATAGACATTTTAAATAGGTATTTGAATTACGACAACACCCTACAAAGGTAGAGTCAGTTTGGGAATCTTACGATGGATAGTATGGAACTAGGCCTAGGACAAACCCTAATTCACTCCCTCACAGATTCCCCCAAAATTTACTATTTAACCTTTATTTACACACGTTTACAACAGGCAATCGTATTTCAGAAATACTTCGATTTGATTTTTATTCATCTATTTCGTAATCATAACAGCATGCATTTTTGTAATTTTTAATTTGCAACAGAAGAATGATTTTCAATCCTCTACATATTGTACGATTAGATTTATATGCAAGAAATGTAAATATATTGATTCGATTTATATTTGTATCTATTTGGTAATAACAAAAAATGTATTTTAGATCTAAACAAATACCTAATGACAAGATGCGTCTTATTTCATTCCTTCTCTTCTATTATAAACACTAATCGCTTGCATTAACCCAGAGGCGTACCGAGGGGGGGGGTACGGATCGCACCTGGTGACACCATTTAGGGGGGTGACACCAAGGCAAAAAATATCAAAATATATAGAGAAAACTTTGAGGGGGGGGGGTGCAAATCGAAAATTGAAAGTTTGTCCCCGGGAAAGATCACTACTGAGGGGTGACACCATTAAGTGCCACTACGATACTGCATTAACCTATTCGTCACTTTTATCAAAATATTCGTTTTAACACTCAGTCCTTTAGGCTTTTATCTACTCATCATTTTACCAATCAGAAGGTCGACGTGATCGCGTCTCATTGTTGCTAAACCGAAAAGACCAGAGCTGGAACTCCGGGCAGATGAGACTCGATGGTTGAATGAACCCCTTGGAAGCAACTCCGCTCCTCCCTATACTTGAGACGGACGGAACAAAAATTACATACCTGTGTCATTACTGAACAATGATAATAAAATACTGACAACATCAGTAGTTAAGACTCGGACAGCTGAGGCTCGTTAGCTGGGGACAGCCATCCTTCTAGGAGAGACAACTCCACAATGTAACAACTGCTGCCTTGTAGTTTGTTCTTGGTTGGACAACGGCTATGGAAGCAAATCCAAAAAGAAAAGCAGGCTGAAATCGAAGTCAATGGCCTCAATGGCGCATTACCATTTGACACGTATCCTTAATTGTGGAGGCGTGGTCGAGTCGGCAAAAAGCTCATGGTTGATCTATTCGAAAGTCTCAAGTTCAAACCCTCTGGCAGATAAGGCTCGATCCCATCTAATATTAAAAATTAAGAACTAAGAAGAAGAAGAGTAGTTAAGAAACTGGAACTTTTCAGGCCTACACTAATACACCCCGATCAGCAATAATAGCGTACCATGTAGAAACATACACACTTAAAGAGACGTCATACAAATAGCAATTCTTAGTATCGACCAACAGCAAGATTTTGACAGCTTAGATCAAATAATAGATGCTTACAACCTAGACCCTATTTTTAAACACGGGTCGAAATAATAAACAGCAATGCGAACCTTCATGTATTAATACACGTTAATGTCATAAGCGCATTTCAAATATACAAATCAGTTAGACAAGGGTTGTCTTTTATCTCCCCTATTATACATTCTTAGCTTAGAACCCCTACTAGAAAACATTCAACAGGGCAACTCGATTAAAGGACTGTAGATTTCTAGCACGCAGGCAAGAAAATACTTGAAGACACAGACGATACAGCATTCTTAGCACAAACAGAAAAAGCTGTGCAGACTGTGATAGAGAAATTCAACAACTTTGGGAAAGGAAGCGGAGGTAAATAAAAAAAAAAAGCCGTACAATCAAAAGTAATGTGGATAAGCAATACTTATATATGAAATGTCATCAAACTAAATGTAACGGTACTCAAGTTATCGTGTTCACAGACACACACACACATCAACAGACACACACAGAGACATACTGACAAAATATATTTTTCCGACTCAGAGATTTGTGAAAGTCTCGATTTCGATATTTTGCACGATTACTAAACTTCCTCTATACTTCGTATCGAGAAAGTATAAAGGGAAAATGGGCTCAGAGTATACAAACGACAGAGTATACAAAGCAGCAGAAAAACAGCGACAAAACATACGGAGCAACATCAATACA